GAGAGAGAGAGAGAGAGAGAGAGAGAGAGAGAGAGAGAGAGAGAGAGAGAGAGAGAGAGAGTGTTGTCCTTTCTGAGGAGGAAAAGCTTCAATTCCCTGGATAAATCTTTTTGGGAATACAAAGGGATGGAATGAATTTCAAGGAACCCCGAGCTGAAAATAGTAAAATACATAAAAGGGCCTGTAACTTGGGCATACAATATGTACCAGACATGGTGCAATGGAATGTGTAAACTGAGTTGATGTTGATGTTTTTGTTATGACCATCTGAATTCACACTCATTCTTGCATCATCGCAAGCTCACACTTCAGGACAAGATACGAGAACGCAGTGGAAATTGCTTGAGAATGCTTATGCACTGAAGTTTCTCGCAGCGGCGGATATGGACCCCACTCACACAGGAATCTCTCTCTCTCTCTCTCTCTCTCACACACACACACACACACACACACACACACACACACACACACACACACACACACACACACACATATAAGCATACATATGGGCATATATATACATACATATATATATGAGTATATGGATGCATGAAAGGTATACACACATATATGCATATCCAAATAAGAGCATAAGATTGTATTGAAAGCATCCCAGCCGGATTATTGCCCGAGAAAGGCGTTCACTCATACCCCCTCCCGGTCTCCACTACCCCCCCTGCCCCTTAATGATCTCATAAGATACCATGGGACATTTGGAAAAAAGAGTTGTGGAACCGGTCAGGGTTGGGGACCTTTCTTCAGAAATTAAATATGTCCTTCTCCCCAAACCCTCCCCCTACACCCATTGAGTATGCAAGCCAGCTGGATCCCTGCCCCTGCACAATAGGGCTGGTACTATGTTTCGACGGCCAGCTCCGGTCCGTCCATTTTTCGACATGCTATGGACCACTCGGGATATTGGTTATGGGTCGGGACTAAAACATACGTCCTCTGAGCCCATGAAAGCCTACTGGAACCATACTCCCGGGACACGGTACACGTGATTTTCAACTAAGGAAATAGGAGCCCTAGCTAGAAATGAATACAGCGGGAATTGAACCTCTGCGCACAATTGCCCAGGGAATCCCATCCCGGAGGCCCTACCCCTTCATACTGAAAATTTGACCACATCCACTACCCCACTGTGATTCTATTTAGACTAAGTTTTGTCAAAACCAAGGAACAGGGTTACGTACTGAACAACTACAGCCACGATAGGACTTGAACCGTCCCTGCTAGGACAAGACATTGCAGCAGGCATCTGGTGGGTGTCTCACCCCCGGCCACTGTGACCAACAATCACGATCTCAAGACTACATGCTCTTAGAAATCACAGATAATGCCGAGAAGCTCCTTGTGAAATTGGGGGATTGGCTGACACCCGGTTCACTGCCAACTCAACGCCTACCCCTAATTTTTGGCCTACTGTATCAATTGCACTCTTGAGGCTACATGCACTTAGGAACTACTGATATCACCAGAACACTCCCAATGACACAGGGGAGTACCACAGTTGGCCGACTCCTGGTGACTGCTATCGCTTGGAGCTCCTCTCGTGTCTTCCTATATATCTCTCATGTTTACATATCCCTGGCCATATTTTTTGAATGCGTCTGTTGAGTTGTATCGTGGAGGCTTGCCTGTGAACATCTTCAATCGTTTCGGCTATGGCGGGTCTTGACATGGACAGCTTCTCATATGCCGACCGCGTGGAGTCCCAGAGCGACGAGGAAGCGGTATAATGTGCTATCCTTTACTCACCTGCCCCTTGCCTGTTTGGAAGAATGTGGCAGTTTGGAATGTCGTGTTGTGTGTTTCTTGTGAATGCAGGCCCTGGAAATCTCTCTGATGATCCTTATGGTGGCAACGGTGAAAAACGTTTTAGGGGCTCGCCACACCCTTCCTGCTGCAACTTTTGCGACACATTCCGTTCTCTTCCGGTTGGCCTTTGAAGCCTCACAATCAAGCCTCATTGTTGTGTTTGCTCACATGTCGTCTACATCTATACTGTTCCTCGAAGGACTGAAGTCGGGATGAGTTCTCCTGTGCCAATGGTCATTGTACTCCCACTACCGGTTTGGCTACCTAGGATCGGGTTAATTGAGATATGGTTGGTGTCCGCCTGCCCCATATTGTGCCATTCATACTATCGGCTGGTTAGAGCAACATGAGATTGTGGCTGACGGGACCTACTCGATATACAGCTGGTACATGTTCCTTCGCTCCTCCTAACTCTTGATACGGTCTATAGGTCTAAGATGTTAGTCCTCCTTCTCAGGACTTCTCTTGTAATCAAGGTGTCGGCCCAATAAGTTAAACCATGTGATATTTTTTCCACGAAGGTTGGAAGAGCCTGGTCATAGGGTTTGGTGGGGTGAGGTAGCAGGAGCGAACAGCGGAAGCAATTTCTTCTCTGGATATGCCTTTTGGAGGTAATAGCATCAATACCAGAAAGTGGTTGTAACTTGGGAACTGACGCTTAATTTTGTCTTTACTACTTACCAACGAACTGCGGTATCACTTCAGTTTTTTTTGTGCTCGCGAATAGTACGGTGACTACTGGAGCTGTGCCGATGCATGTAGTGAAACAAGATTGGTAACATATCACTAGGATCCGTGGAGCCTGGTTGTGTGAACTAGTCCGTTCTGCTCAAGTGCTTTCCTCTATGGTCGTTCAGGATTTTTGCTGCTTATTGTTAATCATAGACTGTTGTGTGCCACCATGCTCCGTTGCCACCCGAGTTTGACAATTGACATATAGGAGATTCCTGCCTGGGTTGAGAAGATCCTGCTTTTTCTATAAGTAATTTCTCGAGGTTGATCCACCAGCTTAAGTTTGTGAAGCTTTTTCGGAGGCTGATGGGTCCTTGCTTGAAGGGTTGATAGTCATAGCAGGGGTGAATAGGGGAAGACGGGCAGTAACATCTTTTCTGGCCAAGCTGTTATCAAATGGCAATGTCAAAAAAAAAAAGTGGATTCTGATATTTTACGGATGGGTCCGGAGGGAGATGAATGAGCATTGGAACGAGGCAAGAACTCACGATTTGAGAATTTATCACTTGATTCCATCCTTGCATCTTGCAAATGTATTATGAACTTGCCTCGTTTTTTCCTTTGGTTCCTTGTTTCCAGAAGTAAGACGTGAGGTATTGATCCTTGCTGATGTAGTGTCTTTACTCTCGTTAGTGCCGATTAGGGATTTGCCTCTTGATTCTGTTTTCAGTCACTTGCCTGGCATATTGCCAGCTTGTTAATTTTTCACTTCGGTTTCTTCTGAACTCGCATCTGGTTACCCCACTACTACCCCTTTGCCTCCGAAACTTGGCATGTATGGACTATCTGGGGTATCGGTCCCGCTGATGTGCTTTGAAACCTTGCTTTGGGTAGAGCGGCAATTACTGGAGGTGCATGTGACAAAACAGATCAGCGACATATCATTGGGAATACGTTGACTGAATCGGTCTGTGTGGCCCATTTGCCACCCTCTATGGTTGTTTAGCAAACTTTCGCGATTTTCTGCTTCTCCCACAATACATGGTCGAGCTACGAAAGTACTTATTCTTAATTATAGGCTACTTTGTGCCACCACACCCTGTTTTTTACCTGAACGTGCTTCGTTTTTTTCCGAACCTACATACGGTTGCTGATCCTTCACCACTAGAACTAGATTAGTATGGACTATTTGAAATTGGAATTCATCCTAATATAATTAAAAATTCCTGATTGGTACCCCCCTCAATAAAAGCGTGACTCCTGCTCGCCCTTCCCTTCCCACCCAAAATACGGAAGAGGCAACTATCTACCATCTCAGATCAACGTTACCTCCCGCCCTTATTGTCCCTCGCTTCTGATTTTCAATAACCATGTGCGGGCTAGCTCTGTGATGATAGTCGAACAGTGATCAGCCCTGTTCGGAGAATGAAGATATAGATGGTTGATCCATCATCAATCCTTGGCTATGGGTAGGGTGTCGATGGCGGAGGGCGGAGGGAGGAAGTAGTGGTAAGCATTCGACTCTTCTCGATATCATGAGTGGAGTTAAGGGGGCACATGAGGTAGAACGGACTGGTGACTTATGACCCGGATGTGGGCTTGGAAAATTTTCATGATTTTCTTCTTCCTTCAAGGCATATGAATGCACTATGATCGATCAAATTCCTAATTATACATTTGAGCCAGCCCTGAGCCAACACACTCTGTTATTACTTTCTGACTTGCCACCGGGATTTGACAATTGACAGGGAATAAGACCCTGCCTAGGTTTGGAATACTTGCTGAGCCTGATCCACAATCAGGGTAATGCTTAGGTGATTTTCAAATAGGAGGATGGACTGGTGCTGCTTCTACTACAATAGCCCTTGGCGCTAAGTAGCTTACGTAGTAATGAGACCCTCGTCTCTGTCTGGGATCATGGAAGCCACCGCTTATCACATGGTAACCGGTATCGGATTGTCCCTCGTCACAATACGAATGAGCATTTGCATGATGGCGCTGCCCCTATAAACATTTAGAGTGACTATTGGAATTTGGCCGACCTCTCTGAATGAATCTCTTGGAACTATCCGTCAGATGTTTTATTCCAAAGACCCAAATACATGGTCCCTTATAGGAATAATGCAAGAAGTCACCGCTGTTCCCTTTGAGTTATCTCAACAATGTCTGGTTCCTGATTATTGGTTTGGAGATTGGCCGCACCTGCTCCGTAACTATTAACTCCTTCGCCCAACTAATAAAGGATTTCTACCCTACCCACTGCCATGGGAACACCACCTCTAGAATTAGAGGAGCTCCATGACAGAATCATAGTGACTGAGAAACGGATTACCCTTGATGCACTGATCAAGAGGGGTGATCCGCCGACCATCAACCCTGACTTCTACTACGAGGCACCCTCTGAAGATGATGCCCAATATGCCAGACATTGGGCGGCGTCGACTTTTTCTGAAATTTATGAGGAACACCGGGCCCTCTTCGAGGAGATTCTGCATCACCACAAAATTCATGAACTAGATGCTACATATCAGCTGATGCGAGCCAACCTAGCTCTCAGCCATGAGATCAACTTGATCAGGCACGGGACACCGAGGAACAGCCCGACGGATCCCGCCCATATCTCGTGCTTCCCCAGATGGATGGTGAACTGTCTATTAAACTTCTTATTTTATTCTGTCATGTTTGTCATCATTGAACAAGTCCTGAATTTGGCCACATGAGAGGAACAGCCCACTTCTTGTAATCATTTGTTTTCTCAAAAAAAAAAAGGGGCTATTGGCTGAAGTGCAATCGAACTCGACTTCTTCACACTTGTCATCCATGCAAACAGCGAAACAGCAAACTGGCGACATGCGCCCACACAGTACTCAAAGATATCGTAACCAGGTAAGAGTTCTCTTCAAACTGGCTATGGCGACTGAGCGCCCACACAACTCACTGTTCGCACTCTGGATCACCCTGGATGTCCCACACGCACACTCAGTGTTCATACCCAACACACACACARTACACACACTCTGCACTCTACACTGAGCTATGGCAGCTATGGCTGCCACTACCTATCGCTATGACTACAGTGCTTCACTCTTGCCCCCTTCGTCTTCGGGCCTCCAGCAGACCTCCTTGCACTAGACGCTGTGGCAGCGCTACYGCAYGGCTTCCGCCTGAATGAATGAATRGCTGGACGCAGCCTCTTGATTTATACTTCTGCGCTGCGTTGGTCTGCCCTGTATCCCTGGCCCATGGTGCACACAGTCCCCCCCGTGGTACTTGCTGGACCGGACTGGTACTTTCTASACTCTCCCTTGACTGCAKGGCGACGACCCTACGACGCAGTGCAGTTGCACTGGGGTCCTGCTGTTTGACCTCGCMACTTGTCCTCGTCTACAACGTGGGCTTGCTTTAGTCACACCACTTGGCCACTTGCCTGCACYACTTGACCACTTGCCRACCTTCTAGAAGGACTGCAGCTAGACTTCTAATCTACAGGTCTACAGATYGAATCCTGGCTACCTATAGACCTACGACAGACCTACTTACCACTGGCGGTTCTACAGGTCGCAGGTTCAATTCTTCGAGTTGACACAGGTATTGTACACAGGTAAGTTGGGGAACTAGGGATCGAGCCCTGGGATCTGCATCAGCTACTTTGAACTGGTGAATACCGTTTCACTCCCGGCGGCCAAGATTCGAGGTCCTCCGAGAAATTTTCAATCCAAGGCAGGACCTTTACCTCGCTGTTGTCTCTCGTAGGCCCGGACTATATCGGGAGCTGTCTCTAGAAGTTCAGATCTCGTAAACCAGCGGCCGTCTTCCGGTTCTTGATAACTAAAATGAACCTTGTACTGTTTCTGCGGACGACCCCTACCTCCGGTTCTGAAGACATCTTCAGCCACTATACCATCAATGTCATATCTTCCATCCATATCTGGTGGGATCATCGATCTACGGGATGGAAACTGATCRCTTGYTTGACAAGGTAATAACTTTGATGCATGGAAAACTGGGTAAGTGTGGAGGTGTGCTGGGAGTTCTATAGTGTAGGACGGTCCGTCTTCACCGCCCTTGACTTCTAAGACTGGCCACGGTCCTCTATAGGTGGGCAGTAACTTCTGCGAGATGTTCTCCTCAGGTGTAAACTCTTTAGAACTAACCCAGACTAAGTCGCCTACTTGAAACTGTGAGGGGCGACGATGTTTATTCGCTTGTTCTATCATCCTATGCTGGCCTTTCCTGAGGTTTTCTACAACAGTAGCTAGTTCTTTTTCGTGCTGTATAGCAAACTCCCTGGTCCCGGGCGGCAATCTGTGAATCTGATCGTGGTTGAGTCCCTCAAACGGTCTGCGCGGTCGAAAGGACTTGTGTAGTTCGTTGGGAGTGCGACATGTAGACAAATGCACGCTGTTATTGTACGCACTAGCTACTTTGGGCAACATCTCATCCCAGTTAATTTGATCTGG